AGAACTTCACTCCTGCCTGCACTGCATCTTGTAAAGGGTGTTCCATCTCTAAGTCTTCTCCTTGCCATCAGTACAGCTTCCCATCCCAACAGGAAGGCAATCTAACAGATGAACTGTTGGCCACTGGCAGGGAAGACAGAGAGGCCACAAAGGCTCAAGCCAGACAGGCTTACAGCCAGGGATTTGGTCAAGAAAAAGGAGGGCTGGCCTGAGCATGAAGCCACGCAGCCAGCTGCATGAAGAGCCACTCCACATGCCGACTAAGAAGGGCCTCTGTTCCTTGTTAAGGACGCCCACTGGTACACATGCAGAGGAAGTTTCATCCAGGGGTGACTGCCGAGCCAGGACCCAGGAATTATCGCTAAGCATTTGTTACGACCCCTGCTGACTGCAACAGTGCAGCCCTGAAGTCAGGTCCCACCAGGCTCCCTGCAATCACCCGCAGCACCCAGCCCTCAGTGGCTCCCTAACATACATCACACGCTCGTTTCTAGCTCATTCTCTTTCCTGCCCCACACCAGCCCAGCCAGCTTTCATGGGTTTCTCAAACATCTGCTAACACAATAGTTGTTGCCTGTTCTGGGACCTCCTCCAGGAGTTTGAGGATGCACTGTATGGGCAGCTGCAATCAATCAAACCTCTGTCTCGGCATTCTGACCCTTCCCTATGAATATCTAGCTTCTGTTTGAAGCTCTGTTGAAAAATAACAATTTTTTTTCCTCTTTCAAGCTGACCAGCTTGGAGTTAAAAATACAGCATCCAGGGACATGGCGTTAATGAGTAATCTTATTAATTGTTGCTTTTCTAAAGTCTTTGCTTACACACATGATCCATGTCTAAATGGCCAGGCACAGCTCAAGACTTGCTGGAAGACAAGAATGCCTGGTGGTCAAGCTAGGTCTCAAATAAAGCAATAACTGACAACTTGGGGAAATGCCCTGCTGATAAGCAGCTCCCATGCTCAGACCAGCCCTGTCCTCAGTGGTACACACTGTCATCATGCAAAGGGGAGGCCTTGGCTTCACAGAACACGGCAGGTAGAGGGGCCTCAGGGGACAAATTGAGGAAAAAGGCATAGGGGGAGGGCTGTGATCAGACTGGGCAGGACTGGATCACATGGGCCCCTGTGCTGCCTTTGAACAGCTCACCACAGAGGAGAGTGATCATAACAATAAATACAGAGAGGGCGGGCATTTCTGGACCAGGTCCTTCTGGACCTCTCCTTGCTAGACAGCCAGTCCCTTTCCTAACATCCAGACGGCCCTATCACCTGCAGCCTCATCTGGCATCCCTGCCCTAAACCTGACATTGAGATCTGAAGAAGACATAAGCAAAGACAATCAGAAAGCAGTTTGTACACCCCACCCACAGCAGTTCATCCTCGCTGCTGAGAGGGAAAAGGGCCACTGCTGCCAGCTAAGACAGCTGCACCCAGGGATATAGCAGGGGAGGGCGTGGCTGTGGGACAGTTTCACCCTGGTTTCAAGAGTTAGGGGCAAGAGGTAAGATAAACTCACAGATGGCCAGCTTCCTATGGCAGGAGGTGAGTCTGATTCTGTCACCATGTCATCACCCTTGGCTCTGGACCTGGATTTCAAGGCAGGCTGGGCTATGGCCAGCAGGCCGGGCTATGGCTGGCAGGCCTCCTTCCCATTTACAAAAGAAAAGGATGAGGCAAAAGGAAGAACAAATAAGTAGTGAATGGCAAGGACAGAAAGGGTCACTAGGATGAAGTAAAGGAACCAATAAAAAAGAAGTGTCTATAAGTGAAGACTGAAGGCATCTCAAGCAACGCCCCCCAACCCCATGTCTCACCCCTGCCTCTGGAGTCACCCACACGACCTCTCTAGTCCCAGCAAGTGTGATGATGATTGTCAGCACTCATCATGTGTGAACCACTGCACTGGGTGACGTGGGTGCTGTGTGCAGGCACGTACAGACCGATACACAAGCACATGTCAATACAGATACACAGAAACATACAAAGACATATACAGACATGCATGTATGATACTGTAATGTACATTATATTGGCAAATTGTCATGTGCTGTGTGAGCTCACTGAGAAGCTGGCTTTGGAAGGAGGATTAACCCTCTCATTTCAGACCCTGTCTCAAAGTATCCTCCAAGGCCCCTCCGTGGATGGTTTGGCCCAACTCAGTGACAAAGAAGAGAACAGCAAAACAGCCCCAAAGTATAAACTAGGTGGTGAACCACTTCCAACAGAGGTTAGTATTGCTTATCCCATGACATAAAAGTGCCTGCAGAAGGAGTGGGAACTTGGAGGTTCATCTGGGGAGAGAACGCTCTACTCTGCCCAGAACTCTTGGCTGGGCACACCACTATCTGCTCAACACAGCTTCCCCAGCCAGGTTCTGCTGCCTGGTTCAGCTTAAATTTGATGTTGCTGCTTCTCTGTCTGCTCCTGGCTATTTGTTCTTTTGCTTTTGTTTGCTATATACTTAGTAAACTCACTCATTCAAAAACTCAAAACACAGCTATCATAGATCGTTCTCCAGACCGTACAGAACCCACGCACACAGATACGTAAACACGCTATACACGCGCTGGTTATTTTCCTTACTCCTCTCACAGTCCTATGCTGGTTGTTGATATTTGCTAAACAGAAATGTTAAGCAATCTGCCCAAGGCTCCAGCATCCGCCCTTTCTCTGGAGGCGCTCTGATTTGTCAATGTCCCTCTTAAATGTGGAAACAAAGGTGACTACTCTGTTCAGAGGGCTCTGGCAGGCCTCATTACCAGCAGATCCTCTGTATTCTTATGGGGGATTGCAGTGGATAAACCCTGATGTAACACCTACTTCTACACCCAGGGCACCTGCTCCTGCTAAGCTGCGGAGATGCAGACAAGGACATGGCCCAGACCTCAGAACTCTTTACCCTCTCTTGCAGACTCTCAGACCTCACCCTGGCTCGGCCCCTCATTTGCTGGCAGGTTAGAGGTGCTCTGGCTCCCACCACCTGTCTAAAGGCCAGAGGGAGGTCCCCCACACAGGCTCACACACCCTCAGGGCCCCAGTTGGCCCCTCAAGGGAGTTGAGTTTATTAGAACACCCAGCTGCTCCAAAGGTCTAACTAAAAAAGCACTTTGTACATTTAATCTGAAGTGTTCACACACCTGGTCCCAGAAGCCACATGCTAAGGGGCTCCTTCACAAGAATGCACAGTGGAGCAAATGTATGAACCAAGACCAAAGGCCCAGGAAATAGAGTCCATGAGCCAGCCCAAGGAAGCATGCCATACCAACCTCAGGACAAGCCTCTTTCTATAGATATGGAAGGTCACCTACAGGTCTTTAGCCCATAGACCCACAGACCTTGTACTCTTCCTACTAGTTATAAATGCTACAATGCTACCCCAGCCACCCTACACCAATGACACGCCTGCTTGGTGGGAACCCAGGCCCAGGGAACTAAAGTGTCCTCGTTGAGTCTAGGACTCTTTACAAGCACATAAGGGCTGCCTCAGGCCTGGTTTCCAGGTCCCTTGCAAAAGCAAAGCAGGCAGCAGCTACAGAGGCTTATGCAGAGAAGGCTGGCGGAGGATAAATGTTTGGAGGTATCCACAAGCTTGATCCCCAAAGCTCTGGCCCCTGGACATAAAGCACAGGCTCTTCCTTGCGCCCTGTTCCACCTACTACTCATGGCCACACAGCCAGCCAAGGGCAAACACACTGAACCAGGGCAGCCTCCTCAGGCTCCAGCGCAGATCCTGGGGGCCTGCCTGGAGCCCATGACACAATCTATACACTTAGGCACAACCCCACTGAGCAATATAGTCTTGTTTTTTTGTTTGTTTGTTTTGTTTTTTATTCTTAACAATTTCTACTCAAGTGAGGCCAGAAAATGCCAGTGGTGTCATTCAGTGTCATTCAGTGTGGCTAGCAAAATCTAATAATGTGTTTTTATTATCTCGCTAGCTTATTAGTTAATGAAATAGATTTAGCATTAAAAAGTTAACTGAAGTCGGACATGGTGGCTCATGCCTTTAATCCCAGCACTTGGGAGGCAGAGGCAGGTGGATCTCTGAGTTCAAGGCCAGCCTGGTCTACATAGTGAGTTCCAGGACAGCTGGGGCTACAGGGAGACCCTGTCTCAAAAAGACCAAAAAAAAGAAAGTTAACTGAGGGGCCTGGAAAGATGGCTAGCTCAGCAGTTAAGAACTCTGGCTGTTCTCGCAGAAGACCCAGGTTCGAATCCCAGCACCCACATGGCAGCTAACTGTTCATAACTCCAGTTCCAGGGGATCCGGCAGCCTCTTCTGTCCTCTGCGGGCATTGCACGACATGGGTGCACTTACCTACATGTAGGCAATACACACATACACATGAAATAAAAATAATAAATAATATTATTAGGACCTACCTAGCAAGACCCAAATGCAGCCAGTCCTCAGTCTCTGAAACTGTCCCTCATGATGGTGTCTCACTCTACACCGTGTCACTCACATCAGCGACAAAGAAGCTGCGGGTACGGCACAGAGGGCTGCTCACAATTTCTTGGTGGTCTAATATTTTTGACAGTTTTATCAAAGGAATCATTTTCACTTCCCACCCTCTCTAAAACCATTACCCCATGGCCCCGATCTAAGGATCAGCATAATCCGGCTGACATGGAAGGCCCATGTGTGGGCTCCAGGAGAGGGTCGGCAGCAAAGGGCTGGAAGGAGATCAGTGTTTGGTCACATTGAACTGCTCACCAATGTCTGCCTCTCACCATCTGTCTGCTCTTGTACCCCTAGCACTGAGCTCAACAGGGAAAGAATGTGCCTCATTTTAAACAGAGAGAAATAGATACTTTACAAAAAAGCAACTTGAAATCATCTTTCTTTGCAAAGGACTTTCTAAACAAGGGAATGAACTCACTCCTGGGCATTCTGAAAATGGTTCTGTGCACTTGGCTGGAGGGATCAGGGCCAGCTGAGGCCTGGAAGAACACCGAGATGCCTCTGCAGCCCCTTCTCGACCACCGGGGCACTCACCTGTGCCATCTTGGCAAGGTCTAGAGAAGGCCTTTGCTCCTGCACCTCGACGGGACGGCGTCGCTTCACGCCAACCTTCTTGTCATTAAGGACACACGGCTGGGAGCGGCTGCGGGCAAGCCCACTGGAGCGTCTGGCCAGCTCTGGCGTTGAGGCAGGTGTGCTGTTGGCTGAGGGGGGGCAGTATTCCAGGAAGGAAAACTGCTCGTGTGAACAGGAGAGGGACCTCTGCAGGTCCAGCCGAGCCCCCCCGACAGGGTATGGGTCAGGACTCCAGGTGTCGCCCACCTGTCCACAGGGGGCCGAGCCTGGTGCTCCTTGGCAGGGCTGTCCCCCAAAGCGGTGGTGCAGGCCCGACTGGTGACAAGGTGAGGAGAGCCCATTGGCTCGGGCAGGGAGGCTGAAGCTGGAGCTCCTCTGCATGGGGCTGACGCCATTGGAGTAGCGCTGGACGCTGCCCCCACTGTAGCACCTTCTCTTCTCCACAGGAGTCCAGACTTTGGACCCCAAGGGCCGCCATGACGTCCGGCAGCTGGACATCTCATCAGAGAAGGACAGTGACCGGCACTGGCGCTTGCTGGGGGGAGCTGAGGGATTCCCATTATGGTCACTGATGCTGAGGTCTTTGATCAGGCTGGTCACTGCACAGGCAGTCACTGCCTCCTGGTGCCACAGGGAGCCATCCTGACACTTGTCAGGCAGACATTCCCAGATGCTGGTGCTCGGCTGCTCGATCTGAAGAGGGCATTTTCTGTCCAGGTCTCGCCATCTGTCATTTTCTGATGCATAAATACAAAGAGAAAATAGGATTTGAGAGGTCATCTCAACAACCCTCTATTTCTAGACCAGTGGCCAGTTTGCTTCATAGTACTTTGAAGCCAGAAAGGCCCCTATAAACCAGCCAGTTCAACCTTATTTTATAAATAAAAAACTGAGGCCCACAGGGCAGAAGTGAGGCCCAACATGTTGACATGGAAGCAAACGAAGCCGGCATTCAGACACTTCTCTGAGATTCCTGATCTGGCTTTCTTCCCAACATCTCATGTTGCCTTCCCAGGAAAATGTAGAACAATTATTTTTCCCCCCAAATTCTTTTTCACTGTGCAGATAGGAGGGGTACTGAGCCCTCCATGGACAGTGGCAGAGTCAGAGAGAATAGTCTAAGCATCTCTGTCAAGACCCTACTCACTTCTCTGCTGCTCTCGGGACAGGACTCTATGCTCTGGCAGAAAACCAGATCAAAACTGAGTCTTGGACACTTCAGATGGTCCAGGTCAAAATGGAGCTGCGGTACTGCTAATCAGTTAATCTGAATTCTATTATTAAAATATTCATTGATAAAAGACACCGAATCTTTATTGACTTCCCTTCCAACAAAATGTCCAACGATATCAGCATCAATAGCAGCTGCCAACCGTTGCATGTTCTCCATATTCATTTGATTTCTTGCTGAAACTGACGATACTTAAAGCAATTAAAACTGGTAGGAGCTCTAGTACTGCTCCTTGAGCTCTACAGACTTTAGGGTACGATTTAAACTCACATACGCAGTTCTGTTTGAATGCTTGAATAAATAAGCTAGGTCAGCTATGAAAGGCAGACAGCACACTTGAACTTCTATTTTAGAAAAAAATTTCAAGAATAATTTGTTGTTTTTCTACTATAGACTCAGTCACCATACTGGGAATTTTAGAAGATTCACGGATAAATGTGACAAGTTCTTATTTTCAAAGTTTACTACAAAAGTAAAGATAAGAAACAGGCCGCACTGCCAGAAGCCAGCCCCGTCTGTCTGTTCCAACCTGTATGTATTTACTAGATATGCAAATGGGCTTGAACCAGGCAGTCCTTAGAGCAGAAGTGAAACCAGAAATGACACTTATAGGTATTTAAATGTCCTCTAATTCCCATAGCAATTCAGTTCACTCGCTGAGCACCCACCAAGGACCATGACATCCACATAGCACCCTGCATGCAGGACCATCCTAGCCTAGGGAAGGAGAACAAGGCTATCAGGAGGATGAGTATCTGAGCCAAGGCCACACAGCTATGCGACACAGTGCAAACCTGAGCTAGTCTGACCCCCGAGATCGTCACTACACTACAGTGCTCAAGGGAACCACCAGGAAGACAGATACCAGCCCCGCCTCATGGAACTTATTGTGCAGACAAGATGTGCTGTAGTTCAGAAAACTCTTACCTCACAGGTGATGCATATTACAAGCAGCAAAGCTACAAACCTAGATCTACGGCTACTTTATTGTTTCATTTCTTTGAGACAGGATGTTACTTTGTTGCTGGCCTTGAACTTGAGGCAATCCTCCTGCCTCAGCTTCCAAAGTGCTGGAATTACAGGCATGAGCCACCAAGACCACACCTGACTTACAATGGCCACTTCTCAAAGGCCACTGTGATCCACCTGGGCTGAATGTCACAAACAGCACCTATGCCACTGTGACAAGGAGGCAAGCAATGTAGCACAAAGGGCAGGAGGTAAACTGAGGCTGAATGCAATGCTCCTTCCTCTTCCTAGACACTTTGCCAAGGACCTGAGACAGGTAACCTAAGGAGTTGCAACCCTGGGCAAAAGACAGGAAGAAACTGCCCAGGGTTGTAATAAGCTGGAAGCCCGGGGAGGAAGGTTCCAGAAAAAAAAAAAAAAATTCTGTAAGTCTAGCAGGGTATCTGAGAACAAAGCAGGGCTGTGGCTAAACACCTAATAGATCTCATCCCAGAATCTTCCAGACTTTGACCCAGCAGTTTTTGATACCTATTCTCCCAGCAGAATTAGAGAAATTATGCTCAAATATAAACTTTACCAAAAAATGGCTCTTTACAAGCTGCTTATGTTATTCAAATATGTCTTGAGTGTCCATGGAAATCATTTCCTTCCAGCATTCCTTTTTTCCGAGAGAGAGAGATAGAGATAGAGAGAGAGAGAAGACAAACCTAAATGCTGGTCTTCCACCCTATTTGAGAAAGGGCCTCTCTTGTTCATAATTCATATGCCAGGGTAGCTGGCCAGTGATCTCCCAGAGACTGTCCAGTCTCTGCCTCCTAGTAGGGGTCATTCAGGGTACAGATGAGCCCTACTGTGCAGCTTTTACATGGGTTCTAGTGATCCAAATTCAGGTGGTTGGGTTTGTGCCTCAAGGACTTTACCCACAGAGCCACCTCCCCAGCCAAATGTTCACCATTCTTTTAAAAATAATTTCAATTTGACATTAGTCATCAGATGAAAGTTCAGTGAACCAAAATAATAAATTCAAATGAGGGGAAATATAAACTGAACTGGGCACAGTAGCTTAATCACAGCTATAATCCAAGCATTCAGGAGTCTGAGACAGGAGGATCGGTTCTAGATGGAGGCCAGCCTGGGCTATAAAATGAGAAGAAATGACTGTTATGGAAGGAAGAGAGTTGTTCTAAAAAAAAAAAGTGGACATTTGTACATGATGACTTTCATCAAAATGGTAACCAATGACAGCAAACTGGTAAATATAAGTAAAGTATCCTACAACAGGTGGCAGATTATAAAGGGTACCATTCCCCCTTACTAACGTGTACTTTTCTGTACATGAAATGAAAAAGAAATAGATGAAAAATGTTAATATTGGACTAAGGATTGCTGGTCAATTTATGCTTTCTTAATTTTGTTTTTCTAGTCTGGATATGTCTGATGAGGAAACTGAGAGCTGTGGCCATTCAGCCCACAGTGCTGTGCTCTGCCTTAGCTCAGGCAGTGAGCTATGTCAGGACCAGGACCAAATCTTGTTCTCCTCTGGGTTCTCTACTTTGGATTTTCAGGAAGTTGTGGACACCAACTTCCCTTTGAAGCCAAGACGCTAAAACACGGCATGGCTCAGGAATATGGTGGACTGAGGAAGAAACCAGTGGGCATACCCCCAGAGCAGTGAGAGACCAAGAAAATGACTGAAGCTGGTGCTTAGCAGCCTGTGACAGGACAGAATGTGTTTGGGCCAAAACGTGAAAAAAGCCATGAAATTAGAAGAAGTTGAGCCCATCTTTCAAGGATGGTACCTGCTGTTCCATTTTTGTTTCAATGACCAGGAATTTCCCCGTCTCTGGGAAAATCATAAGAATGGGGAATCGGGAGTCAAACATGAACAGGCTCTCTCTCTCACCTGGCAGTGCCATCTCTTTTCTATGACTATCTGAGACCTTGTTACTTGTTGACTGGACCCCTTAGGGGCCTCTCTATTGCAGTCCTACCTCCTTACTACCTCTATACAACCTTCTGCCAACCCCCGGGCAGTCCTCTGGCCCTTTGGCAATTGCTCATCATGGAAAGGATGCAAATATTTTAGCCAAGCCTATCCACTGCTATCCTAGTGAATCCCACACTCCAGGTACCAAACTTCCTATGACCTCAGGGGTCTAACAACACATGGGGCTGGAGAGGTGGCTCAGCAGTTAAGAGCACTGGTTGCTCTTACCCAGTTTTGGTTTCCAGCACCTACATGGAGGCTAACAACCATCTATAACTCCAGTTCTAAGGGGATCCAGTGCCCTCTTCTGACATCTGCAGGCATTGCATGACATGGGTACACTTACACACATACAAGCAATACACTCATACACTTAAAATAAAAATAATAAATAATTTTTTTGGTCTTTTTGAGATAGGCTCTCCATGTCTCAAAAAAACAAAAAAGTTTTTAAAAGTCTGATAACAGGCACAGGGATGTGCACCTGTAATCCCAGCACAAGGGAAGCTGAGGTGGGAGGATCACAAATTCACAAGTTCTGGCTATCTAGAGACCCTGCCTCAGAAAAAGACTCAAAGAAATAAACCCAGAAGTTACACCCCTTCCTGGTGTTGTGCAGATAACGCTCAAGGGTAATTCTTAGACACCAGCAATTCTTTTATTTTATTTTTTATGTGTATGAGTGTTTTACCTGCATGTATGTAGTACACCTCTGTGTGCAATGCCCTAGGAGGCCAGAAGAGGGCATGAGATCCCCTGAAACTGGAGTTACAGATGGCTGCTAGCCACCATGTGGGTGCTGGGAACCAAAACCAGGTCCTCTGCGAGAACAGCCAGTGCTCTTACCCACTGAGCCATCTCTCCAGCCCCATAACTTTTTTAAAAATATTTTATTATTTATGTATGTGTATGTCTCTGTATGAGTATGTGCACATACATGCAAGTGTCCCAGGAGACCAAAAAGGAGCATTAGATCTCTTGGAACTGGAATTACAGGTGGTTGTAAGCCACCAGATGTGGAACCAAACTCTGGTCCTCTGCAAGACTAGCAGGCACTCTTACCCACTGAGCCACTTCTCCAGCCCCACCAGCAATTCTTTATGAAACTGAAGTTTAATCATAAGGCGGCAAAAATGCAAACTGGTCAAATCTAAGTGCAGAGAACTGGGGATCCTATTAGATTTGCCTTGAGGCTAATTGTCAAATTCCCAGTTACAGGGGACAGGGTTGAATGAGTCCTAATGTACCCTGTTTACCACAGCACCTACTTCATCTGCTTAAAGAGTGGGCCCACCTGGCCTTGCTGACAATACACAAGATTTCTGTGTTTAGGGAGGATGCAGAGTCAGTGCTCTACTCCTTCCATTCAACAGGGGCATAATGTTAGTACAGCTACAGTCTGTAAAGTCAGCCCTTCCAGGCATTCACGCAGTCTCATTTTTTGCAAAGGTGTGGTGCGTTCTGCTCAATCCTCTTTCCACCAACACAGAGCCTCTTTACTCATTTAAGAGCCACACCTCTTCTGAGGATATGCCTTTTCCACATGATCCTCTGTGGGCACCTACAGCCTCCAGTTGCCTGGATTTTCAGTCCTATGACTCATGTTAATGGAGCCTTGATTATCTGCTTACACATCTGCTTTTCCTACTGGACCACCAGCTGTGCAGCAGGAGCCCAGGATGACTCACCGGGGTCTTGCACTGTGCATGGCACACAGCAGACCTTGCAGGGGTAGGGAATATGAGGAGAGAAGCGGGTGACAAAACGTAGACAAAACTACAGAGGCAGCTGTGGGTTTTCACTTGGTACTGCCTGTCACTTGTCCTTAGCACAAGCAGGTCCAGTCTGGGCTGTGTCTCAAACTCTTCACCCTTCTCTGAGCCATGGATGGCTGTGTATGAAGTAGCCAAGAGGTTGCCTGGTAAGTTAAATCTAGATACTTTGAAAATGGAAACACTGCTAGTGTGTATCAGTACCAGCCAGGTGGCCACTTGTCCTGTCTACAGCACAGATTAGAGCTGTTTCTATCTTTATCCTTTGAGAAGTACAATACAAGAAAGTAAAAACAATCAATGCTATGTTTAGCTCTTAGGTTTCCACCGTTCATGAGGGTCCAGAGAGTAATTTGTTGGGTCAGGTCACCAGACAAAAGAACAGGAGGAGAAGCTAATTTTTAATGGCAAACTGCCCCAACTTTATACCGCACAAAGGGTTCTCTCTGGTAGGGCTCTGAGAAGAGGATGGCGGGTGCCCCCGCCCTGCCATTCAATACCACTTCTGTATAAACAACTAGACCTCTTTCCAAGTGACAAGCCATGGACATGGGGAGTTCACTGAGCAATGGTTACTTGGTGTGGTGCAAAGGGCATGGCCCTGGGTTTGAACCTTGGCTCTGTGGATTCTTTAATCTCTCCCAGCTGCTGAGAAAAGAAACAGGCCCACCAAAGGGCCCAGAAAAAGCTCTCAGGAACAGCATTCACCACTGTAATTCCAGTAGGAGAAAACTGGAAAATGTGCTTGTATCTGAGACTTCTGCAGCCGGGCACTCACTTCTGTGGCCTCAGGCTGGAAAGGGAATCTAGTTTCTAAGGTGAGTTTTCTGGGTTGTCTGCTGGACCCCTGGGGGAGGGAGAATTGGGAGGCGGTAGTGGGCAAGCACAGTCCAACTCAGGAAAGAACTCTTCAAGAGGTAGGAATCTGCATTCTGTAAGCTCTTCCAGTTACTTTAATACGAACATGCTGAGAATCATTTCTCTGGACTAGAGGCTACACAGGGACCTCTGTCAGAATGGCAATCCGGTCAGACCAATCAACCACACGAGGAAGATTCTAGAGTTAATGATTTCGTGTCTACAAATTTGGTTCATAATACTGAAGTTGGTGGGCTTGTTTTGGGTGTTTTGGGGCAATTATAGGAAGGTGAGAAAAGAGCCCTTTGTCTTTCAAGTCTTTAGAGATTCCTGTTTTCACAGGCCAGGTGGGGGACCCTCAGGGCACACAGCCTGAGCTCTGTCATCCCTAATGCATCAATCTTTAGAAGCATCTCAAAGAGCTAGCGCCTCAATGTCCCCACTATACCCGCTTCTACACATGTGAAGTCTACACTGTAGTAAGTGCATGCATGAGTGCACATGTGTGGGGAATACAGTGTGTCACTTTGCATATGGACGGGGGGTGAACCATACAAACATACATACACCCTGGGCCCAGCTCTCTTACAGATGAACCAGGTGACCAGGAGCTCTTCCAAGCTGAGGCTCAAGGACTGAAGTTTCTGTCTGACTTCCCTTTGAGGACTGCAGAACTGGATGCCCTCACATGCGGAGGCCAGGACTCAGATCCCCAAATTCATACTCACTGGGTGCTCAGATCTAAAGCTCTAAGAAAGAAAAGCACTCGGGGGAGCACAAATAGCATTTGACCTCTGATGTACTTGTTTCCATTTCTGTCCTTAAACTTGAAGGGAAATTCCCAGGGGCCCAGACTCTTGCGGGACCATAAGCCTTCTTATGTTCAAAAGATAGAGCAGTGTCACAGCCCTGAGGATCTCGGAGCTGTTTTAGATACTTTCTTAAAGTGACATAACCACACACACTGTGGTTTCTAGAATAGGTCAAGAACCTACATATAGACCTGAGACCAGACTCTTGCAGCCTCCAAGGTTGGGGAGTGCACCATCAGTCAGACCAGTGGCTGACTCATTCCTGGATTTCACACCTGTCTACTTGTGCTGACAGTAAGCTTCTCCCCCTGCCCTGTGGGTTGGGTTGTGCTAACATGGCCTCAGGGTAGCAAAGACTGTGTTTTGGGTGGAAGCTCATCAATCCTTCCAATGAGAAACTCCAGAGAACTGGGGTATCTTTCTGATGGCAGTTTTGCTAAACTGATCTTACAATAGGAACACAGATGAACAAGCCAAGCAATGACCTGAGCTCCCCACCACGGTCTCATCTGGTTAGTGGGTATCATTATTGTTATTATTCTGAGGTTTTTGGAAGCAGGGTCTCCTTGTAGCCTCAGTTGGTCTGGAACTCACTATATAGACCACGCTGATTTTGATCTCAGAGATCCACTGCCTCTGCCTCCCAAGTGCTGGGATTAAAAGCACGTGCCACCATGCCTGGAACACTGGCTGGTTTTTGTTTTTTGTTTTTTGTTTTTTTAATTTTTGAATGGGAGAACGCAAACAAAGCCCCCACTACCACAAATTACACAATTGAGTTTCCCCCATTTGGGGAAACTGCAGAAGTGAGCACACCCCAAGTGCAATGGATGGTCCTTGTCCTGGGAAAAACACCTTCCTGATCATGGCATCACCCCTGCCAGGGACATGTACATTGGCTGGTTGGTTTTTTAAAGACAAGATATCACTCTGTAGCTCAGGATAGCTTGGAAATCACTATGCAGCCCAGGCTGGGTTTGAACTTGATGCAATCCTCCTGTCTTAGCCTCTCAGATGATGGGATCACAGGCATGAGCCATCATGCCTAGCTTCTCATCTGGTTTTTAATGAAGCTCAGAGCCTGTGTCAACAGAATAGAAACTCACTAGGAGCTGTGCCAGGAAGAAACACTCTTGGGCTTCCAGCCTTTGCCTCTGCTCCTGCCATGCAGCCTGCAAAGGATAGTGACACAAGACACCAAGCTACCCTCACAAGGCCCTCAAAGGGACAAGGGATTAGGGTGGCTGAAGGGACAAGGGATTAGGGTCCCATCTGGGGAAACAGGAAGGCTGATAGGGGGCTCTGAGAGAAGCCAGAAAAGCTGCTGAAAACAAAGATCTGGTTCAGAGTGGCTACCAGGGCTGTCCCCTCACCAGCACGGCTACCAGGGCTGTCCCCTCACCAGCATGGCTACCAGGGCTGTCCCCTCACCAGCACGGCTACCAGGGCTCTCCCCTCACCAGCACGGCTACCAGGGCTCTCCCCTCACCAGCACGGCTCTGACCAGCTCTGACAGGGTCTCCTGCTCTACCCCTGAGCTCCCAGGAGCACTCACAAATATGTGGGGAAAATTAGTATTTTCCATGGCAACAAAATGAAAAGGTCAGTTTGGTCCATTTTATTTATTTTAATTCCTTCCTGATGTGGAATATATAAAAGGGCATGTGAAACGGACAGTTCTCTAAACCATGCACACAGCAAGGCTAGGTGCCTTTCTACAGATGAGGGAGCTGGAAGCAAGCAGAGCTCTTTGGGAAACTGCCGATAGATAGGTGTATTACCTCCACCAACAGGATTCTAGATGAAGTTGCAAAGGACCATGAGCACGTACTCTAAGCATAGTGATTATCTCCTAGGTCATCACACGGCAAGGCCTGCCCACTGGTGAACTGAGCTTCAGAAGAGTGCCATGTGTCTCCTACAAACCCAGTGAGCAACAGCAGAACTGACTTTAGCTTGCTCTGTGGTCATATTCTTCCAACTAGGACAGGCTGTCTGTCCCCCAGCTTGCCCATTGTCCGTCCTTTACCACAGAAGGCAAAGAACCCAAAGACAGTCTGCAACAGCCAATCCCAGGCCCTGATCAACTCAACCTGCACGAGGAAGTCACCCAGGAAGCTCTCGCTCCATTTGTCTCTGTGAACAGCTGCCACGTGCCACTCCACCCCATCTATGTCCACACTATACTGTATCCCACAAATACTGTCTGGAACCAATACGAAAGTACATGGAAGATTCGTATGGATGAATCGTAAAATACTTCAGAGATTTAAAAATCATGTACATATATGACCACAATAAAGGTCAATTTAAAATATAAAGAGAGTTTTTAAAGTCATACACATGTACTTGTATATGCCTGTACTCTTTTTTTTTCAATGAAAACAAATCACACGCTAGTCTGTGTTACTGAAAAGCAGTTTCTCCTTAGAGACTGTGGCCTCAGGGATCAGATTCAAAATAGCTTATCTCTGAAAGCCAGAAAAAATGGTCAAGAACAAAAACTGGGCCTGTGTAGCTCTGAATTTGTTATTGGTGTTTTTGTTTTTGTACTGGTCATTTGACTGAAATGGAAAACATTCAGCCCCGAATGCTGGCTCCTTCACGCAGGTGCAATCCTGGTTGACTTTCAACCATGTATGGTGGCTGGGTTAAAAGACCAAAGCCTGCCAAATCTCCAAGTGAAATCTCTTAGTCCTCCACAGCTCAACACAGCCAACTGGTTTCCCTGAGGAACTCCATCCAGAGAGTGCCCCCGGGAACAACCCTTTTATGTACCGAGTAGACTTTAACAGCCAAGTAATTAAACACCGAGAGTGAGGGCTTATAATTAAAATGCTGACAAACCTGAACTGGGGCTGCACAAGTTGGGCTGCTGTAATATTTTTACAATTCCTTTTTATACATAATGTATGATCCTTATGCTCAAGTTTCCTCTATGTTCTTTGCCTGTGAAATAATTTACATTAATAAATAATTTATTACCATAACTCCTAAAGTAATTATGGGTTTCCATCCAATTTTTTTTAGCATATGAATTGTTTTGTTCTCTGTCCATTGACTTGTATTCACAAGTCTTTTCCTCGTGGCCTTTTGGAAATAATTGGTGTTGCCTTCGCTTTCTCACATTTTATGTGATTTCCAAATCTTCTTCTCGCCTGAGTGGTAAGGAAAATGGGATGTGTGGTGTCCATTGTCCTGACAACACAGAACTCATTTAATGGCTGCAATTAGCCGAGTGGTGAAAGGAGCCTGCATTCACCCCACTTGCCCCATTTCACCAAAAAAAGAAAGAAGGAAAGAAACAGGCACACGTGTGACCCCAGGCAAGCGTGAAGAAGCATCTCCCACAGCAAATGCAAAGGGTCCTGGGGCTTCAGACCAAGGCTTCATGTGTAGCCCCGGCCTCACCCAACACAAAATCCCCCCTTCCCGCACCCACCAGAAATCAGTGTAGGAAACAGGGCTGCTCTGTGCCCAGCTGGAAGGCTGTGAACTGCCACTCAATTCATGTCATACATAGATGCCTCTCCCCAGAGAGCCGCCTGCATGGGAAATTCTGCCTCAGCACAGAGGTGGGCTGGGAAGATCTGAGGTGAGAGAGGAGCCAGCATCTCCTAGAAGGGGCTCGCCTGACACCCCAAGAAGGAACCTTCAACTGGGTAGAAAGCAGGTGGGCAGAGCTGGCCTCCATTCTGCCCTGTGCCTCCCAGTCATACCTAATCCTGGCTTTGTTCTATCCTCTACTTTGGAAAAGCATAAAATTATTTCTTTGTATCACCTTCCCAAATTGAGATGGGGCACAAGGGTAGGGAGAGGTCTGATATCCAGCTCACAATCACAAGAACGAGGTACTTTAAAACAAAAGCCAACATGGTGGCACACACCTTTAGTCCCAGCACACAGGAGGCAGAGGCAGGCAAATCTCTGTGAGTTCAAGATCAGCGTAGACTACATAGCAAATTCCAACTTGAGTAACTTAGTGAGACTGTCTCAAAATGATTCATAAAAAGAGGGATTTAGCTAGGCATGGTGGCCCATGCCTTTAATCCCAGCATTTGGGAGGCAGAGGCAGGCGGATCTCTGTGAGTTCAAGGCCAGCCTGGTCTACATAGTTTCAGGACATCTGGGACTACAGAAAGACCCTATCTCAAAAAGACAAAAAAAAAAAAAAAATTGTTGAGAGCACTTGATTCTATTACAGTGAATAAACTTTGTCTAAGTGAGCACCTAGGCGGCCCAGCCACCTTGAAGACCTGCATTCTATGGGGAAGCAACAAACCACGTCTGCACTCCTGCCCCAGGGCACGTGTTGGGATTTTCCTCAGAATGCTTAGGACACCTACACATACTGGCTTCTAGGACCCTGACATGACGTGAGGAGGGGAAAACCCTGAGTCACAGGGCCAACTGTCCCCAGCTCTCCCAGGAGAATTCCACTGACCAGGGCCTGCATTTGAATCCTTTATCTCCAGGAGACAGGCCGGAGGTTGGCGATTATAATAATTTGGCGCTTTATCTTTGCTCAGCATTGCCCAGCCCTGGAAGGGCCGAAAACCCTCTTGAAAAGTCTGGCCAGCCCCTTGGCGTGTTCTCGTACCTGCTATTGAAAAGTGGGCACACCCAAGATGACATCTCCCCACCTGTAGTGCACCCCCAGCTTGCCACACTGACAGTACAAGGCCACAAACCTCTCCATTCTCAGATTCAATGGGCTGGAGAGCTAATGGGAGCCACAAGGTCCCCCAGCTCACAGGGGAGGGGGAGGCTTCTGACTGCTGGCACTCCTGTCTCAGTAGGTGCTCGAACAAGACAGACCTTAGGCGTACCTCCTACCCACCTATATTTTGCCAGAGGAAAGGCCATGGAATAGGAAAATGGGGTCCAGTGCTCTTGGCTCTACAGGCCTCCTCTGTTTTGGCAGCTGGCCCAGGTCACAGGGAATTCACTGCCTGTGGCTTTTTCTCCTTGACTAGACATAGAGTTTCTTGTGCGTAGGGCAGCACCCCCTTCTCTCTGTCCTGAACTAAATGCCTAGCACATGCTGAGTACTCAGTCTATGAGAACAAGCCCCTAAAACCACTGTGGTGATGACAAGTTTTGGCACGTTGTCACACGGGGCAGAGTTCTCCCAAGTCAAGAAGACTGAGCAGCAGCCAGATGAGGTGCATGTGAGAGGGAGAAGCAGAGCAGGCCATGCTGCTGATCTACCACTTAACCAGGTGTTCCTGCATCTTCCCTGGCTGACTTACAGGGCTTTGATGCCATCTTACAGAGCAGGAGGTAGACAGGGCCTATGGAAAGGAGAGCAAGGGTACAGCCAGTGAGATCAAGACAGGGCTTCCAAATGGGACAACCTGTAAACGCAGACTGGTACTTCCTACAAGCCCTGAGGTCCCCGGATAGAACACAGGCTTCCCTGAATAGAGAGCACGCTGCTGCCTACACGGGAAATTCTGCCTTGGCACAGAGGTGGGCTGGAAAGATCTGGAGTTGAGAAGAGCCAGCATCTCCTAGAAGGGGCTGGCCTGGCACCCAAGAAGGAATCCTCAGCTGGGTACAAAGTAGGCAGGCAGGGCTGGGCTCCATTCTGCCCTGTCTCCTAGCTACACTGCGTCTGGCTTTGCTCTCTCCTCTACTCTGGAAAAGCCAGTTGGTCCTGGACAACCTGCACTTCCGCCCACACGCCTCCTTCCTCCAGCTTCGCTTTGGCCCCAAGAGCAGCCTCTTGCCTATATTCCCTCCAAAGAAAGCCACTGTGGCCTCTGTGCTTGGACATGGAGGCCTCTCTTTTTAAAAAAGATTTTTTATGCCGGGTGTGGTGGCACATGCCTGTAGTCCCAGCACTTGGGAGGCAGAGGCAGGCGGATCTCTGTGAGTTCAAGGCCAGCCTGGTCTATGTAGTGAGTTCTAGGACAGCTGGGGCTATAGGGAGACCCTGCTTTAAAAAAGACCAAAAAAATATATATATATTTTATTATTTTTATTTTATGTGTCTGAATGTATAGCCTACATGTATGTAAGTGTGCCTGTGTTGTGCAATGCCCACAGAGGTCAGAAGAGGGCACTGGATTCCCCTGGATCTGGAGTTACTGATGTTTGTAGCTACCATGTGGGTGCTGGGAACCAAACCGAGCGGCCAGTACTCTAATCACTGAGCCATCTCTACAGTGTCAACAGGGAGGCCTCTCTTGGAGAACAGGATTCTTGGCTGAGGCCTCAGTCCTCTTTTCAACTATGCCTGTGGTGTGGTCTCACTGTGCCAATCCCATCACAAACATTATGTCACATAGCTCTCACAACAAGCCCATAAATGACATGCCACATAAAAGGAAACTGAGGCTCAGAAAAGTTAAAAAGTTCATCCTATCTCTACGTGCCCCAACAAGGCCTGTCACAGGCCCACCAGAATCCACTCCATTCTTTGGAGTCACATAGTAGAATGCCAGGAAGTCCAACACACAAAAGCCTTGAAGTGGAGGCCACTGTCGTCACCCCACAGGTTCCTGATCTGGCTCTACTGGAGCTGGGTGAGGGCTGGACATGTATCACGGCCCTCATGACAAAGCAGGACATCTCCGTTGTGAACCTATTCCAGGATGCAGGAGGTGATGCAAGCTTCTGGGCCACTGGCTGCGGGGGGTGGGGGGGTGGTGGTAGAAAGGCATTAACCACCAAAGAAGTGTTCAATCGCGTGGGGTTGGGCCGCAGAAGTGTGTCAGCAGGGTGAGCTGCTTCACGCTCTCTGGGAGGTAATATCAAAAAAGACTATCCAGCTTTCCCAGGACTATAGCCTGTAACTGAAAAGAAGACACATTTCCTTCTCCCTCACCTGGTCTAATTCTTCTTCCTAAAGGGCCTTGGGGAGGGTCACTGGGCCTCAGTTTCTCCCTGTATGAATAAGCACTTGCCTGGCCCCCAAGCTGAAAATAAAATGCTTGGCACAATGCCCAGCAGTGCTCAACACAACAGACACAGGATCCCTGTGCACTCACGGTTTCATCCATGAGAAGTGCCTTGAAATTAGAAAGAGAAGCTCTGGTCACAGAGACAGGAAGGCAAGGACAGGGCCCCGTGGCCCTGGAAGAATCTGAAAGCCCACAGTGGTTACTCCAGAGCTCAAGTTTGGTCTCTGACTCAACACAGACATTACAGAAACCCATTTTCAGGATAACCAAAGTGGGGGAGGGGACACTGCAATCCTCCAAGCATCAAGAGATGCACATAATGAATACAGTTATCCTTTCTGCCCTCTATGAGAAACAGCAGTTCCCATGTGCACAGAAACCCAAGACGGAGGCACCTTTCTGGAATCGGGTTAGCAATACGAACCAAGAGCCTTAAAAAGGTCCCTGCCCTTTGGTCCCTGTTCTCCTCCTGGGACTAACCTAAGGGAAAATACAAAAGACAAAAACTCAACTGAAAACCACTGTTCATTACAACAGAAAATCCAACAGCCTCTTCACCCTGTAACCACAAAAATTACATCGTTCAGGACGTTTTGATACATCCACACAATGCAGATTACAAGCCCTCAAATGCATGCCAGGAATCATTTTCCAGCTGTGGGGTTACTGAGTGAAAGAAGCAAAAACAGTTTTCTATGATTACGTGTTCGCTATGTACTTGGCTATATTCAAAATGAAAAAAAAAAAAACAAAACCAAACATACACAAAAATATCAATACTATTCACCAAGAACAGGAGCTTTAAGGGATTTTTTATTTCCTATCCTATGGTACATTTTTCTCAATGAAAAAAAAGTCACCATGACTTACTAAATAATCAGCAGACCTCTCATTGTTGGAGGTGGAAATGTATCTATAGACCACATACGGTGCCCAGCCCTCACTCGCATGCCCCTCAGTCCCCTGGTCCACTCCAGCCCCACTAAGGACTGAAATAATTAAAGTGAAGGCGAGCGTGCCCGGTGCTCTTCTGGTGTCTCACCTGACTGGAAGGACTAGAGACGGTGCCCACACCACGTGGCTACTCACCCATAATTCCACAAGAGAGAAGGGTAGGTCCTTGACTCATCTTCTTTGGCGTGTGCTGAAAACAACCAGAAAAGCTATTCACTCATCAGTTCTGTTCACGTCATCAGAAGCACGTTTGCACACAACTCTGTACTGAGCTCTTGCTGGAGTCACAATTTCAGGGGGAGCTGCCCTTTGCCGGTGTCAGGACAGGGAAAGGAGAAGAAAGTAGTCCAAGAGACAATACCTGCACAGGACTGAGCCTGGACTCTGCTGTGAGGCTCCAGAGTTACAGGCCTAGCAGGCTAATGGGCTTTTAAACCAATACAGAAAGCCTATGATTCCTGATAAAAGGGTTATGAGGAGCTAAAACAAGCTTCACCAGGGGCTAGAAAGAAGGCAGGCCTTCCCAAGGCTTAGGAGCAGAGGGCCCCCTCCCAGTCCAAGATGCCTCCCCAGGGAATAGAGGACATCTCCTCCTCCTCTACTCTGAAGGGAAATGTGGCCAATGACCTGCACCTGCTTGTGGTCTGATCGAAGCCTCCAATCATTCTGAATCATAAGACACTCATTGGTTCCATCAGGTCTCAACCTGAGAGCTATGACTTTCAATTCTTGGGCATGGTATGTCCACTCCTCCTCCTCTATGAGCATTCTCTATCTTCCCTCACAGTCTACACCTACCTCAGCTGAACATTACGGCCACCAAAGGCCAAGAAAGCCCCGAAGAACCCATGTTCTTCTTGCTCCACGGCGCCACAGCAAGCTGAGCACAGAATATTCTAGACATTCTTGTGCTGGCTGGCACCCACTCAAGTGGCCCATTCAGATGGCCAATGAGGAGTAAATGCCCCAGTCAGGACTGCAGGAGAAAGTCTGCCTCGAATATTCCAAAGACTGGCTGCCTCCCTCCCTCCCTCCCTCATGCAGCTATCTACTCAGTACATAGGAACTGAGAGTTCAGGCTGTGCTTAGGGGTTGATCCTATAATGGGAAATAAAGTTCTTAGCCCCAGAAAAAAATCAGCCTGTCACATGGGGCTCTAGCCTCTGAGAGGACCGCCAGTCCTTACCATGTGACAGAAGAAGGCAGGGCTTCTGAGCTGAGAAATGGCTAAGAGCTTGGGCTTTGGCTCTTCAAAGACCTAGAAGGAAGGTGGGGCTGACTAGTGCCACCTGGCCCACCCAGATAAGAGGGTGGCAGGCGCCTGGCACCAGCTCCCTCACCCCATCCCCACTGCCCAATCTGGGGACTTTGCATTTGGTCAGCAGTGCATTTATCCCACAGGGGTTAAAAGGACAAGATGACCCTTCCCAGACTGGGGATACAGAAGGAAAAAAGGGCTCACACCTCGTAGAGAACACAGTTGCACAGACAACTCATTACACTATAGAGATGGCAGTGGATGAGGGTGCAGGGCATATGCATCAAAGTGGGTGAAGGTCAGAGCTAGTTTCTAGAGGGACACCTGAACTGGTATTGAAAGACCAGGAAGTTCCTTATGGTAGACAGCCCTTTTCTGGGCCCCTTCTTAATTTACAACAATCCTTACATTATCACCCTCTTGGATCTAACTTAGATATACACTGTGTGTGTGTGTGTGTGTGTGTGTGTGTGTGTGTGTGTGTATGTACTGCATATCTATAACTTTGTATATACTGTGTACAGCCACCCATGAAAATAGAGTTAGAAAGAGCTGCACCTGCCTCCCTCTCAGCTGGCAAGATTAATTCTGCAGGGTATGCAACTGAAAGCCACACCAAAGTCACTCAAAGAGGGAGAACCCTCTTTGTGCTCAAGCCCACCAGGGCTCAGTCTCAGTGACAAACACTGAAGAGCCTGTCACCAGAGCTGCACCACCCTGCAACCAAGTGCAGAAGCCTGTGGAAGCCAAGCATCTCATCATTGCTCTAAAAGGATAGTTTAGAGAAAGACCCGGGACTGTCCTCTGCTAGGGGCTTTGCTTATCACGAGAAACAAACTCCTGGTGCTGCTCAGAGAGTATCCAGGCTCAAGGACAGCACCACTGGGACGGTTCCTGCTTAGCCCCACCCGGAGCACCTACACCCAGGGCCAGCTGGGGGCCAGGAGTCCACTGAAGGCCACCAAGACAGGGACCACAGGCAGTGAAGCGAACAGGAAGGCTGCACAGCACGTTCTGCTGGCACACAGTGTCACAACCGAGGGCTTGGGGCTCACACATAGAGGCAGGAAGCAGAGCACGGCCACCTCCACCTCGCAAGTAGGAGACTACTCAAGGTTTGTTTGTTCCACTGAGTTGGGGGTACAGAGCCGAAACCCCCAACTACCTCCAAATCCACATCCCACCCTTGTCCTGCCCTTTCTAGGCCTGACCCACCTACTCTCCTACAGCCTGTGAGTTTTCCACCTTTGCTCCAATAGTGTTCATTCTCTGTGAACTGGTTGGAGGTAGTCTCTGTCATTTACATGAGGAACTCCGACCAGCTTCGTGCTGGAACTTAAGTTGGGACTTAGGGCCCTTTCTTGCTCTTTGAGCTCTATCAGTGAGGTAAGGCCAGTACCAGGACATCTCATCATCAACAACACCCTAGAACACAGGACCCAGCAAACCCTGACCACTGACTGGCTTGCCTGAAGACTTCACACAGGCAAAGCAGGAGTTTGCACTGGCTCCAGGCAGACATAAGCCTTTCTATCTCCAGTCTACCAAGAACACAACTCCCACTGGCCCATGCCATTCCTATAGCCAGGCTTCTAACACTCAAACCCTCTCTACCCAGAGCGGGAGGAAGGTCGAGCAAACCATTAAGCCAAGGTTCAGCAGCCCCAAAGGGACTCTGGCAGTGAAGCCTCCCAAGACTTCCGGAATCTGCAAAGGAGTGAGCCCAGTTCAGGCCTGAGGCCTGTAGGGAAGGAAGCTGAGAGCACACTTCCTCTGTGCACACCTCCCTCTCTGTGCCCAAGCCCACCAGGGCTCAGTCTCAATAAGACTACACATGTCACAAAAGAGGTCTTCAGAATCAGATCTGGTAGGAAAGACAAAAAGTTGGAAATCAAACCGGGGCTCCAGAGCCATCTGCCTGTCTAAAGAAAGAGGTCCTGGGCCGGGCGTGGTGGCGCATGCCTTTAATCCCAGCACTCGGGAGGCAGGCAGAGGCTGGCGGATCTCTGTGAGTTCAAGGCCAGCCTGGTCTACATAGTGAGGTTCCAGGACAGCTGGGGCTACAGGGAGACCCTTTCTAAAAAAAAAAAAAAAAAAAAAGACAGACAGACCAATTAAGGCTCTACAGGAGGAGCTAGCCCTGCAGAAAACACCAAGCCCTAACCAGGACTTTCCACTTTCTTTAATCAGTTTCTGACTAAAACAAATGAACCACTTTTTCCTTTTCCTAACACAAAGTACAGGGAGCCACAGTACGGCAGGGAGGTGCTCACACCATGCTCTGCAAGAACAATCGGGATACCACACCTGCCTCCAAAACAGAACTCAGTAAGAACACAACAGCACAACATAAGGGAACCCAGGCCCAAGAAGACAGAGATGCTGAGAAGGGGACAGTGCCATGGAGAGAGGCTCTCAAAGAAACCAAGGCAGCCCGTCCCATGGCTGAAAGGGTCCCTGGGTTTAGAGGCCCCTGGGGCAGCCAGCCTGTGGCCTGCCAGAGACCCAGAGCTGCTGAGGCCAAAGTTCCAAGGTGGCCTGGCAAGAAATATGAAGAGTTCCTGTGCCTAGATGGGTAGGCACAAGACCTAATGTGGCCACTAACTCCAGACCTCAGCTCTGACATCCTAACACGACAAGTGCAAAAGTGCTTCTACCTACCTACTGTGGGTGGTTTGAAGACAACCAAGTAGTCTGGCCACACACTGTCCTCTGCCCAAAAGAGTCACTTGCCAGCCCGTTCTGGTCTCCGGGATTTAGAGTAGGCTGGAAGACATGCTGGGAGAGAGGCTGGCCCGGCCAAAGGAGGTGGTCACTCTAGAAACAAGAACAGGCCTGTGCGTGGGCGAATGGGAAGGAGCTGGGGGAGCTTAGTGCTCCAGGGTCAAATGTCTGGGCTGCCGTCCAGTGACAGTGGCTAATGTTAGAACACAAGAAGGAAAAGCCCACTAGGCTGAAGAAAGCAACCAGGCAAATAGGGAAAGGGGACCAGGCAGGCACAGCTGCCTAGTGTACAAGCTAAGCCAGGGCTGTGGGCATGCCTTATACCCTTAGCCATCACTCATAGACAGGCAGGCTCCTGTGCCCAGAAAGGGCATATGCCGCACACTTGTCAGTTCTTTTTCCCTTTTTCCTGCATTTTTCTTGGGAATAGGGACAGTCACATTCTATTACCAGCATTAGGGTTTTTGTTTTGAGTTTCACATAGGCCAGGCTAATCTTCGAACCCTGATCCTCCAGCCTCCACCTCCCAAGTGCTGGGGGGGGGGGGGGGAGGAGCTATTCTGGGATGGCTAGGAGGGAAGGACGGCCACAGGTCTCATTCCCCACAGGGCCTCAGGGCAGTATCTAGCGGCTCTCCGGGGCCCCAGGGTCCAGGGTACTTTCCATCTAAGGGGTCCTAGACCTGCTCTCCTGTGATTAGGAAGAGCCCAGGGGCCAAGCAGCTGTACACAGTGGCCTGCTCCTGAAATCCCAAAGGCTCCCAGCCCCCCTAGAATCCTGTTTCCTTTTTAAATCTTAAGCCTCCACTTCTGTTATCTTCTTGGTCTGATTAGAAAACAAAAGAAAAATTATTTTCCACCTTTCCTGTTGTTAACCCAATGGTATTTGTGTGAGGATGATGTTACCAGTTTCGGATGTGAAGCAAAAACCCCAGCAACTTCCTCTGTTCCTCTGCCGCTGTTCACAGTGAGCGTGACAGCAGGTGACCTTACGCTCTGTCTCAGGAGGTCATCACTATACTGACACCATTTGGACCTTTCTTCACTTATATACAGAACTAATCTCCCAAGGGGACCATAACCCTCAGAGGCCAGGGCTGGGCCAGTGCAGATGGCACAGGAAAGACCATAACTACATCCTGAGTTCACTGAGACACAGTTCCTGTCTAAGGGACAGAGACGGCTGCACCTCTGCCCCAGACTGAGCACCTTCCACAGCACCCCTCATACCCTCTGCAGCCCACAAGGTGCTTCCTCTTATAGTAGGCCAGGCCCAGAATATGGCCGACAGTTAGCATACCACATGTCAACAAACTCACAGGCAAGAAGGGTCTTCTCCAAAATGTCCAGTCCACCACTGACCTGCCATCTAGAGCCGAAGGAAGGAGACAGATGTGCCCAATGAATGGTACCAGGTGGGTCTGGGTCTAGATAGGCCAACAGCAAAAAAAGAGCAGCAGGAGCCGGGTGTGGTGGTGCATGCCTTTAGTCCCAGCACTCAGGAGGCAGAGGCAGGCAGATCTCTGTGAGTTCAAGGCTAGCCTGGTCTACATAGTGAGTTCCAGGCCAGCTGGAGCTACAGAGAGACCCTCTCAAAAAGACAGAAAAAAAAAAAAAAAAAAAAAAAAAAAAAAAGGAGTAGCAGGAAGGCTGGTCTTTGGGGAAGAGGCTGAGGAAGGTGTGGACCAGCCAGAACAGGCAGCAGAATCCCACTTCATGGGATGAGCATGCCCTGCCTCCCTTCTGTTCCGAGAGGATGAGGCTCCTTCCCTAGCAAGGATCGAAGGGCACCCTCCTTCAGGCTGGGGCTCAGGCCCATCTCCAAACAAGTCACTCCCCTGAGAACCAGCTCTGTGGCCAAGCCTCAGTCAGTCCCTGACACTGGACAAGAAGAGAGCAGTGGAAGGCAACAACACAGCTGGACCCCGAAGGGCTCAACCCTGGGGAACTCTAGCAGACCCTCACTCTGAGGCCACGCCTCCTAATCAGAGCCACTCTAGGCATGTTCTTCATCCCCCACCAAAAAATCCAGTTACTACCAACAGAAAAGACAGGAGAAGCATGTGTCTGTGACACCCTCAGCTACGAACTGTAGTCAAAGAGGGACTAAAGCAACAGGCCCAGAAGCCCTGGTAACAGGAATCCATGCACTCATCCACTCTACAAATCCTACTGCATACCTACTAGGCATGGCCTCTGGTTCCAGACACCATGTTTCTGGCCACAGAGAAAGACCTGAGTTTCATGAAGCTTCCATCCTAATGGGGAGTCACTCAATAAACAAGACCCACAGGTAAATTGTTAGAGAGTGGTAAGAGCCAGAGGGAAATTAAGTGAGGAAAGGGAACAAAAATCAGTGTGGGATGGAGGGACTGAATTTTAGGCTGAATGATCACAAAAAGGAGAGACCTGTTAAGGGGATGTTCTAGACCGTGGAAGAAGTCCAAAGGTCCAGAGGCTCACTCGCAATTGGCATATTATGTGCGAGAGAACTGGTGTGGGTTGGGTGGAGTGAGTGGCAGATGCCACAGTGGTCATGGCAGACAAGAGTACATGGGCCTCATACATGCAGTGATATGTGGGCCCTTTGCTGGGCATGGGGCAGGAAGTCAGTGGATGGTTCTGAGCAGAAGATCGACAGATTTGCCTAGTATTCTCCACAGCTGCTGGGTGGAGAACAGGTTTTAAGAGCCAGGGCAGAGGCCCAGTCACCACAGGATCTAGATGAGCAAGGCCAGCAGGTGAGACGGGAGTAGCTGGCATGAGGGTGGTAGTGGGGGTCAGAAGTGACCAAACTGCAGTTACACATTAAATGCAAACTGGAAGGGAGCAGTGATGGTGAGAAGGTCTGAATGGCTCTACTCCTGCTCCAATGACCCAGGTTCCTATCACCCAGACACATCGTAGTGCTAGGGCACAGGGAGCAGCCTCAGAGACAAGTGTCCCAACACCAGCCGGAGTGAGGATGCCTTCATGTAGGTCAAGCAATGGGGCTGACGGGTGGAGGTGCGATGAAGAGGTAGCCAGAGCAGTGAGGCAGTCACTGAACTGCTCCAGGTCTCAATTCTCAGCTCCATGTCTGGAAAAGACTGGGCCACTTCTATTTAGCCTTCAAGGCCATACACAGCACTCCAGCTCTGTGAGGCTCTCCCTGACATGCTGGCTCAGCCAGCTTCTTTGGTACTCCTGAACCCCATCAGGGTGTCAGCTGTGAATGGTAACAGGGCCTAAAGGGTTGCTACATGCCCTCTGTCCAGCAGAGCTTCCCACTGGACTGGGGACTGCTCAAGACAAGCAGGGCCAAGGTCGGCTCCAGATCCTGATGGTACCTGAACTCCTTTGGCCTATGCCCAGTCCACAAGGCAGGCATCCTGTGAAGGCCCATGGAACATGTATAGGTCCTGGTGGTTTCCCCAAGGTTACCAGGGCAGGGGTTCAGCTGTCTCAGTGTGGTGCTCACTGGCATGAGACAAAGAAAGGGAGCCCATCAATGGGTAGACGGTGGGGTTCTCCCAAGGGGCTGTGGAAGGTGTCAGGTGGGAACTGAGTGGTGGGCAGCCTCTGCTGACCAAGGAAGCTGCAGAGTTCTAAGGTCTTAGATCTGGAGACTCCTGGAGGGAGTGTTTATGCTCCTTCTACAGGGAGCCCTCGCCTCTGAGGACTAGGCTTAGAGGGCGTGGGGGTCAGGACTTTGCTCTGCCAGTGGTTGAAGGCCCATTTCCTGCCTCCCTGCTCAAGCCCACCACCACTTGGTCAGAGGGCAGTTAGCAGTGGCTGTCACCACAGCCTGACACCACCTTGCTGCCAAGCTGTGCCTTCTCCTCTCTCACTCTTGACCTTCCTCAGATGGTAGCTCTCACAGCCTTATCTCGGTCCCCACTCTGGTACCGCCCTTCTTCCTGGAAGCCACCTCCCCTTCAGGTGAAGATGAAAGGATTGCTGGCCTCAGCTGAGCCAGCCTTGGCATGATCTCCCTCCTCTCAACAAAGCAGCTCTAACCTGGACCCATTGCTTTCCTCTTCTGAGTATGTAGTCACGCTCTGGCCACCTCTGCCATCTGGTCCCAGTCTAGAACCTCCAGAGCCCTGCTCCCAAATTGCTAAACCCGGATACCCTGTCCACAGCCACACCACGAAACCCACCCAGCACACCAGGCCTTAAAGAGAGCCAAAGAATGGCAGTCCTGAGGCCCTCACCAGTTCAGGGCTGAAGGTCCTGCGTGCTACGGAGTCAGATCCCTGGGTGGCGAGGCTTCTTCTCAGGGTCATCACCATGGTAAGGACCTCAGGCACTGGGCTGCATCCCAGGGTGGGCACAGGCCATCTTCGGGTGGGCTAACTTGGCTAGCAGTGATGCCTAGGCACCCTGGGGAATGATGTCAGCAGAAACCGCTCCCCATCAGTCTCAGTCTTGGGCTGAGGCCCTTGGGAAATGGCCAAGTATGGTCAACAACCTGAAAAGACAAAAGACAGGCAAAGGGATTCAGGACTAGGGAAACCTGAGACACTAGGAGTATAACCCAGCCCCAACAGTACCAGGGACGCAGTGTGGATGGAACCACCTCCTTACTAAAGGAAGTGCATTCTGGGAGATCATCAAGGCCCAGGATCACTTTCTCAAATGACACACATACCCCAACTATCCTTGGGACATCCCATAGCCAACGCTCCACTAGACAGAACAACAAATTTGGGTCCGACCATGTGACATCTTCAAGACCACAGGGTCTGCGGTGCTAGCAATATGTAGTTACTGGTGTGTGCACAGGGTGTGTGACATCTTACCACTGACGGAGCTGGCTTTACAAGCACATTGAGCACACACCAGGACAAGTTAAGACTGGCTAAGGATCAAATACACCTCACCCCATGTCCATAACCAAAGTAGGTAGGAACTTGGAGGAGGGACCAGCTCACCTGCACCCACTTAGGAACAAGAGTGGCCGAGTCAGGAGGGCCCATTTAGAGATACATGACCATCCCCAGCAGTGCTCTGTTTTAACATATTTACAACACTGGAAGCCTTTGTGGCTTTGTCTCCTTCCCTAGCATGAACCAAACTAAATGACCTACTAGTGACTGAACCACCTTGACATTGCCATCAATGTCTCTACCCAGTCCAAAGTCAGGTCTCATCAAGCAAAGGCAAAAAGAATAAAGGTTTTGGTGCAGGTCTGAAAACCCATTCCTTACAAGTGATCTCTCTGATTCTATTTTCCCACTCTCCCATCCCATCTTCTATGGTTAAACCTTCAAAGAAAGTTACACAGATACAAGGGATTTGAAGATCATCATCAAAAGCTAAAAAATAATGTTGGTGATAACAATTAATAAATAGAAAGGCAGTTCCTAATCTGTAATTAAAAGCAAACTACTCAGCACAGGAAAATGTTTTAGAATCTGCTGCTCTGTGAAAATTAATTGTACTCTGGTACCAACTTGCCATCCAGATTGTAAATCATATTTTCCTGTTTACTTCTATTAGACTTTATAGTGGGTGTTATTGAAATTGCTCAATTACAGGCCAGCTGGCAAGCACAGGAGAATTACCTTCCACTGTTCTTCGAAAACAAGGTTCACCCAAAGTGCAAAATCAGGGGAGGGGTGGGGGGGCGTGGGGATCAATACATTTGTAAAGCTTGACTGCTCAGGAAAGGAGGCCCAGGAGGGTTGAGGAGTCCCAGGTGGTGCTGGGAAACTTGACACAAGTTTCAATACCACATCAATCTATAAGCCACATGTCCTAACCAAGTGTGATCTGTTTAAGGAAAGAATTTCAGACCATTCCGCAGTGTTCTGGCTGAACAGCAGAGCCAAAAATGCCCGCTGGCCCCCTGCACACTTGGCTCAGGAGCCAGCCAGGAGGGGGTGCCCCTGGACTCGCCCTTCAAAGGGGCCCTTTGTGCAGCCTCAGTGGGGGAGGCCTGATGGCAGCCATCATCTTTCTGGGTGTGAGCCCCAGTTCAGTTCTAGGCAGCCAGCCACTGGCATGAGGCCTGGAAGGTGATCTCCCCACTTCCTTCTCTGAGGAGACCCGTAGGTTCAGTGGTTACAAGCTCAGATCCCAAGTCAAGCACATCTGGGTTGGAGTCCCAGCTCCTCAAATACACTGGTTTCTCTCTGAGGCTTACTTTTCCTCTCTGTGAAATAGAAATAGCACTGCCTGTCCCTGGAGGTTACTGGGATGCAGACCTCAAGCTCTCTGGGGCCTGGTTCAGCTGAGACGTAGCAGACAGCAGTTACTACTGTTAGCTCCATGGGGGAGCCTAAGAGTCCTGATTCTTTTTCTAGCAATGGACATCCAGGCAGTCATCCTCTCGAATCCCTTTAAATGCCATCGATGGGGCTTGGCTGGCTATATTACAGCCTGTCCCTCTGGTGAAACAGTAGGTCAGTAAGAGCGATGTTATGGAAACCTACTGCCATGGAAACATGTCAGCCCATCCAGGCACAGTTCTGCACAAAGCAGAAAACTAGACTAAGGCAGCAGTGAGTGCCCCCTCTCCCCAGCTCCACCCCTACTATATAGCCCCTAGAGTTGACAGAGGCAACACCAGGGGTGGTACACCCCACAGCATTGTAAGTGCCTGGGTGAATGGTCAGGCAGTAACCATGGCTCTGGAGAAGGAAGGAGTACCATAGCATCTCTGGCCTCATGGCTCTGGAAAAGACGTTGGTACTACACATGCTGAGGGCAGAGGGAAGGGGCACTGGACATGAGGCCTAAACCCCTGCACAGGGGCCAAGAGAGCAGAACAACCTAGCTGCCTATCCAGAAGGGACTGGTTAATTACAGTGTGGTTGTGTAAGGGAATACGATGTGGCCTTTAAAAGGGTCTTAATGAAGCAGTCAGTATACACACTGGCAGCCAGTGCACAGGCTATGTGGAGGGCAAAAGGACAAGGAGACAAAAGACCCCAGGTCTGAAAGCCATGCAGAATGGAGACCTTATCCGGCAGCATGGTGCTTCCTAAGGGCTTCTTGGATCAGCCAGAAGTTTTTCAGCCCTTTACATCATCTAGCACAGTACCTTGCACAGAGTAAGGGCCTGGTACACACTTCTGGAGTTAAGCTAAATCACAGCAACTTCTGCAATAGTTCTGACACAGTCTCAGACTTATTGAGGTTAATCCAGACCAGTGAGGCCTGGTGCAATGTGGAGTTCCTTGGGATTCCTTTGACCCATGGCACAGGCCTGGCCAACCTCATCAAGGAATGCTAGCACCCATTCAGAGACCTAGAGAGGACCTTGTCACAGAGATGATGGTATAGCCTTGGAAGGGGCAGTAACTGGGTGACTTCACAGGGGTGGGGTGACAAGACAGAAGACGGACAAAGTCGTCCCAGAGGCAACCTCCAAAGCACAGGACCTGCTTTGCCAGGAAGGTTTTCTCAGAACCCACATGAAGAACAGCTTCTATCTACTAAGCACTGCTGTGTGTGGTTTGTCTCTGAAGGTTCACATGCTCCCAGTGTGGTTATGTTGGGGGGGGGGGCGGCACACAGTGAGAGATCACTGGAGGGGCACTGCCCTCTAGTAGAGATTAAGTAGGTCTCATGGGATTGAGCTGGTTTTCTTAAGAGAACTGTTATAAAAGCACATCTGGCCACACTCAGCCACTCCAGTCTCGCCATGTGATCATTCCCTCTTACACATAATGTGACACCACCCGTTATCATCTTCTACACCTCAATGGATTCTCCCATCATTTCCTTAATAAAGCTTCTCTCTTAATAAAGTCATTCAGCCTCAATTATTTCATCATAGTAACAGAAGAATGGTTAGACTGAACAATCCAGGAGTGGTGACCCACACCTTTAACCCAGCACTTGGGAAGTGGAGGCAGGAGGGCTGAGAGTTCAAAGCCAGCCTCAGTTACATAAGACCCCATCTTATTCAAGTGCCTACCATACAATGCAAGCTACTTCACACACGTTAGCTGCAAGGTGGGTTCAGCTGTCCCCATTTTACAGCCTCATGAAGCAGTTCGCTAGACTCTAGGTTGAAAGCTGTGGTTTTATTCCTGGTGGACCAGCCCCCAGACTTGCAAGTTCCTACTGCACCTATCTATCCCAAATGCACCCTACAGTCACCCACTCAGGCAACAACCATATGGCCTCACAACCACATTCCTTTACATTTATCCCAGAAAACCCAAAACACTTTCACCCAAAAACCTACACAAATACTTTGTTCCTGACAGCCAACCCCCAAAATAAACTGCATGATAGTGTTTATATCAAATCCTTGAAATGACAAAATCATAGTACTGGAGAATAGCAATTATCAGGATTTTGGGATGGCAATAAGGTCAGAAAAAGCAACACTAGGTAGCCTCTAGAAGACAGAGATGTCCTGACTTCTACTCTTTGCAAGTCTATTTCCTGTTTCTGATGTTGGACTACAATCTTGCAAAATGTTACTATTGTGGGAAACAGAGTAAAGAGCACCCCACACTTCTCTGTACTCATTTCTTTTTTTTAAATATATATATATTTGGTCTTTTTGAAGCAGGGCCTCCTTGTAGCCCCAGCTGTCCTGGAACTCACTATGTAGACCAAGCTGGCCTTGACCTCACAGAGATCCGCCTGCCTCTGCCTCCTAAGTGCTGGGACCACAGGCATGCGCCACCATGCCTGGCTTTTTTCAATATATTTTTATTGAATCTATTTGCATCTCATACAATCCACCCTGATCATATTTTGATCCCCTCTCCTGTACTAACTTCTTATAATTGCATGAATGTGAAATAACCACATTTTAGCTAATTTTTAAAAATTTATTACATGGGGCCGGGTATGGTGGCACACACCTTTAATCCCAGCACTCGGGAGGCAGAGGCAGGTGTATCTGTGAGTTCAAGGCCAGCGTGGTCTACATAGTGAGTTCCAGGACAGCTGGGGCTACAGGGAGACTCTGTCTCAAAAAGACCAAAAAACCAAAAAAAAAAATTTATTATTGCCCAGTCCCCACATCCTACACCCACCTGTCTGCTGGCATTTGACCCCTGGTGGACCAGTCCCCACACTGGGCAGTGTAAACAGACTCCTGTCCTGCCTCTGCACACCTCTGGGCTGCCCAGCAACTTCCCTAGCTGGCACTCCAATCTGAACATGGGGATGTAGTGCCTTCTGGCTCCTGCTCCATGAGACCCACTCAGGAAATTCACCTTCACCAGGATTTCCACCAAAGAAGCAAAAGCTCAATCAGGCTTTCCACTGCTCTGTAATCTCACATCCTTGGGTGTCAAAAAAGTGGCAGGAGCTCCTGCCCACCCCCAGTGGCACATCTGCATAAGAACCATCTATAAACTGGGCGTGGTAGGGCATGCCAATAATCCCAGCCCTTGAGACAGACAAGGAGGAGCTTGAGGCTAGCCTGGACTACACTGAGACTGTGTCAAAATTACAAAACAGAAAATGAACCACCCAAGCTCCCCAGTGCTGTAA